GCTTTGGCATCATCCCCATGGGCGGCACTTACCTCATTCAGTCCGTTCCAGCTGAGCTCAACATGGATCATACTGTGGTGCTGCAGCTGGCAGAGGTACTGGTGTGGTGTGTGTGTGTGTGTGTAAGAGTGTGTAAGACAGCCCTGGGCAGGGTTCTGGAGCAATTCTGATCTCCCTACCTCGATGTTTTGCTGAAACAGTCTTCAGGATGAACTACTCAGACCTGAGCTTATTTGTCAGACATTTATTGAGCAGCTGCACAGGGCGAGGCTGAGGGGCAGGTGGAGATGAGTAAGATACAGTGCTTGCCCTCAAGGAGAGTACCGTCTAAGGAAGGAGACAGACATGCAAGCACCTGTGTTTTCGAGACAGGCTCTTTGAGGTCTTCCTAAACTGTGAACTCTTTGAAAGAAATGTTTAATTGGCCACCCCCTGCCTCCCACAAATCCTCCTCATGTGCTACAGGGATGCATGTTCCTTTTACTTAATTCTCTTCTGCAAAACTACGCCAAGCAAGAGGCTTTTCTTCCTTGGGGGGTAGGTAGGTGAGGCAGGACAAGGGCTGAATATTGAAATATTTTAGATTAGGATCACCACCATTCTTTTCTGTCAGTTAAGTCATGTTCCTGATTCTTTGAGTACTCTAAAGTACGTGGGACCCCCCACTTCTTAACCATGAACTCACCAGCCTACCTTTGTCACCCTGAAAATTCTGTCTCTACCGGGACCGCTAAACATTGTTTCTCTGCTCCTTAGGCGTAGTCCAAGGACAGTTCTTCCTCCTGCCTGGAGGAATCTCTTATCCCTGGCAGATGCCAGGTTCTGAGGGAAGGTACTCGCTCAGCTGTCTCCATCCCTTCTTCCTGCAGAAAAACGGCTATGTGACTGTCAGCGAAATCAAAGCCAGCCTTAAATGGGAGACCGAGCGAGCGCGGCAAGTGCTGGTACGTGGCTGTGGAATGGCCCCGCAGAGGTGGGTGGAGGGAGTGGGCAGAGAGGTTCCAGAGGCCAGAGCTACCCCCTCACTTTGCTGCCCTCTTGACACTGGCCAGAGCCCCAGCATTGCTCTGCCATTCAGCTTCTGCGACTCATCTGTCAAGTGGGGGAGCATGACACTGGACAGCACCGACCCATATTGAGCATCGAAGGAGGGCTTCAGAAAGTTTAAGGAATTCCACCACCATTAGTTCTTATCCCATTTCTCCACACCTGTTTGGAAGCCCCTTTATTCCCAGCGGTAGGAGCGGAGTGCATTCTGAGACTCCTGTGGTCCTCCTGTTAAGCTCTCCGTAAAGGTTTCCTCGCACCTGCCAGTGACCCGGCCAGGTGAAACCAGTCTGAGAACCACGATCTCCATTTCTCATCCAGCGAAGCAGAGCCTGTGATTTGCTTCAGGGTGGACAGCACACACTAAATGGCTTGGCATTTTCCACACCTTAGGCAAAGGCCGAGCCCAACCATCCCTCCATATTGGTGGCGCAGAAGGAGAGGTTGCTGGAAAGCCTCCCCGCAGGCTGGGGGAGCGCTTGCGTCTGCAGAGCCTCTGCCCACCCACACTCATGCCGTCTTTCTCCTCCAGGAGCACCTGCTCAAGGAGGGGCTGGCCTGGCTGGACTTACAAGCCCCCGGCGAGGCCCAGTACTGGCTGCCAGCTCTCTCCACAGACCTCTGCTCCCAGGAGATTACCACTGAGGAGGCCAGAGAAGCCCTCCCCTGACGGGGTGGGAAGAGGGCAGAGCTCTTGGTGAAGAAAACTTGCACACTTTTGCAGGGGGGGGGAGAAAGAGTTCCACGTTGTTCTCTCCTCAGTACTCCTCACCCATCCCTTTTTCATGTGTCATCTCATCTTCCCTGGAGAGGACCTCCTTGGCCCAGTGAGGATAACCCAAGTAAGGGGAAACCTTCATTTATGTACAGTCAACAAGGACACTCCACAATGGCTCTGCCCAGGCCAGCTGGCGAGGACAGCCTAGGAAAGTTTAGTCGTATAAAACGTTCCTATGCCCAACTAACAGACCCAGATGGCGCCATGAATACTATCTGGTCTCTAGCAGCTCTCCTGGAGAGGCAACAGGGCTGGCCAAGTGTGGTCTGTGTCAAATGTTAACTAGACAAGAGGAAAGAAGAAAATGGGATTTCAAAATAAAAATTAAAAAATGGGATTTCAGGGGAATCTGCCGATGGTTTTCTTACATTTCAAATTTCCTACTAGCTTCTCCACCTAAGTGGTCACCCATGCCCTCTGGTGGGTGGGAACTGGGAGGGTTACTAAACACCCACCCTTTGCCATGTCTTTATTGACAAGTTGGCCTCAACAAGTGTGGAAAAATGGAATTTCCCCACAAACGTTTTGAAGCCCCCCCCCATATATTTCCTTTAATTTACACAGCTACCTGAAGTTAAAAATTAAGTAGGTGTCTTTAGCTTCCCAGATAGAGAGTGAATCTACCAGCTGCTATGCAGCTTCTGCAGCAAATGGGCCAAAATGCCCTTGCTGTAGAGCCCTTGCCACTGCTTTGCACAGCAAAGGCTGCTGGGACACTGGTCTTAGTCTGCTGGGTGAGCTGGGAGAAAAAAAGCCGCCAGGCCACAAAGAATCATGCACAGATTCTAGAGTGTAACCCATTCATTACCTGAGGGAGGGGGAACACAGGCTCACCTACTTCTAGAGTTTAGGGGGATGCTGCCATCCCACTTCTGGTACTTGCTGCCCTCTTCAAACTGGATCCGAGGGAACACGTGTCCACTGAGTACTGACATCTGTACTGCTTCGCAAAATTTTTCATTTCATTCAGAATGCCTTCCATTACCCCCAAAATGCATTAAAAAAAAAAAAAGAATCCAGACTTGAAAAGCTTAAGGTTCTCAGACTCTTCTTGGTTTAAATGCTAAATTCCTGGGGGGGGGGGGCAGGCTTAGTGACAAAATGTAATTCCACGGTGTGCATCATGCTACGGGTACTTTTCCTTCAGCAGTCTACCCCCACCTCCAACTAGCTCAGGTTCCCTCGCCAACACTGGAGCATCACTACCTTGGAAGTGGCTGAGGCTGCCATGGGTGTCCCCTCCCCCCAGACTGTCCCGAAGCCAGTCATGAACAAGGCCTTCATTCCTGGCTGGTGGGTTGTTCTTGTCCCCCCATCTCGTTTCCACCCACAACACCTGTGTTTACGGTTTCCAGAAAATCCACTGCCCAACGGTCTCAGTCCCAAGTGAGAGGTACAGCTAAGATCCCATTCTACCTCACAACCCACCCGCACCTACAGGCACTTCCTCCTTCTGCCAAAACAAACTTTATTGCACCAAAAAGAAAAAGGAAAAAAAAAAACAACTTCATTTATGTACAGTCAGATATAAAGACATCTCTTTGACTCCTGTGCATGTTTCCTCAACTCAAGATTAGGGCGTAAAAGTCAGGCCACAATGCCAGACATGCTCTGCCGTGGCAGGGCCAAGGAGAGGATTGTCACTTGAAAAATGGGAACACTTAGTGGATGACCGACAACCCTGGACCTACAGACCCAGGGCATTCGTCTAAGCCCTGGACGGGTTCTGGGAACGAAGAGGGGGAAACTGGAAGCAGGGTTCTTTTGCAGTCTCCACGTGGAGAGACCCACCTTCCAGTCCCCAAGCCCACTCCCTGTCCAGTTTCTTGCTTCCTGCCCTCCCAAATAGGACCTTCTCCTTTGTGCCCACCCCCCTACCCCTCATCGCCCCCAGGGGAATCCCGTGATCCACAAGGCAGACACCTTCATAGCAGCGGGCAGGGCAGGTACAAGTTATCCTCTCCCTTACAGGTGGCTGGGTACTGACAGGCCCTGCGTCACATGGATCACCAGTGCCCCTCTGGGAGCCTTAACACAGGAAGAATTTGGAAAGTACAGGGGAGAACACATCAGAAAGGGAAGAATGGACTCCCACTGATGCCCAGTACACTCCGGGGCACCTAAAGCACGTATTCTGAGCCAACCAGCTAAAGGACCACTGTGGCGAAACACAGCTAGACGCGACACAGCCAAGCGAACACGCATCAGAGCCAGTGACAGAGCGGCTGGGGGTGGGGGGGAGGGGAGGAGTCTCCAGAATCCCAGCCCTTACCTTCCTCAGCCACTGGCTACCCTTGCTCCCCACAAGTCCCTAGGGGGGTGGAGTGGGGGGGACGGGACTACAGGCTGCAGTGAAAACACACAAGAAGAGCCAGACAAAACTAGCACCCATCTCCCCACCAAGGCCTTACTCCCACTGAAATACTCTCATTTGTGACTCGTTTCTACATAGTGGCTCTGCTCCCACACATCCGGCAGCTGCCTCTGTCGGGAACTTCTCAAATCACCGACTGTAGGAACAAACGCTCTTCTCAGTTGATGGTGCCCGGGCAGGTTTTTGACCAAGACCTTGGTTCAGTCCCAGGCACATTTACTTTCTGAGGGAAACCCAGGAAGGGTGACAGAACGGGGACAGAGAAAGGTGCTCCGGTGCCAGGGAAAGCTTGCTCATCAGCAGCCTAGCCGCCACCACTGTCCCTTCTCTTTGGTCTGTCTAGAACAGCGACTAGAAATCAGGAAAAACAAAACCGAGCTGGCCTGTGGGAAAAGAGAGGGAGACAGAAAGGGGCACTGGGAAGCCTGCTTCAAGACTGACGGCAGAGACAGACAACCACTCGAGTGGCTCTAAGTGTCACAGACAGCCCCCGCGCCCCAGCTCCCTGCCAGATGTCCCTATCCACTGGTGGGCGCGGCCCCTCTTGGAGCTGCCGTTGCTGCCTCCCCGTCTCTAAGGAGCTGGCCCTGTGGAGAGGTGTGTTGGTTGTTTTGTTTGCCTGAGGCCCTCACCCTGCGTGCTCCTGTAGGTACCTTGGCCCCTGATGAACATGACCCCAGGTGTTTGGAGCCCAGGAGGTCAGATGGGGAACAGCCTCCCAACTCCCACTCCCTGGGATCCGAGCTCCCTTGATTCTTGCCATCTTGCAGGATGATGTCACATTTGGAGGGAGATACACAGTGTCTCTCCGTCCCGGGGTGAGGGGAAGGGGCTTTGCTGGGACTCTCGAGGGGGAGGGGGCGAGGGGAGCAGGGTCTAGACCCTCAGGCCCCCGTGCAGGTCTGTCTCCGTCCCAGACGAGCTGCTGTCAGAGTCCATCTCGGCGGCGTTCTCGTTGTGGAGCCGCTCCAGCACCTTCTGGCGGATCAGTCCCAGGCGCAGCAAAAGGGACTGGTAGTCAAAGTGGCCCCGCTTCTCTCCAAAAGGGTCCTGTGGGGAGAGGAGGCAGGGGATGGAAGATGCATGTCTGGGTGGCCCACACTCCCTTCTGAGCCGTGGGAACACAGCACAGGGTCTGGAAACGACAGGCCACGATCCCTGCAGTTAGGAGTTAGTATGGCAGAGTGACCAAGTAGGTCTGGCTGAGGCCAAACATAACAATGTCCTCACTTGCCTTGCTCAAAACCAAACCAATGTGCAGAAGGGGAAAGTCGCACGGGAAACTTAAGTGGGGAGAGAAATTCAAGGTGAGAACTGTAAGCACTAAAGTGTTTTTAAATGAACCCTTTAAACTCACAAGAGGCAAAGGTTATCCTTTCTTTGATACTCAAAAGGAGTGACTGCTCTCTCCCAGAGAGCCCTTCAGACTGTGGCCACCGTCTGTCACTCCATAGCTGCCAAGCAACTGACCCTAATCCTTGCCATTCTAGAGCAAACATCCGCAAACATTTCGTAGTGCGGGGTGAATTGTTAAATCTAACCATGGCTGGGTGGAGGCGCTAAAGCAGGGGTCTACAAACTGCGCCAAGGGCACAGCTGCACTGCTGGCAGGCATCCCATCAAAAAAGGGGGGAATGCAAAACCCAATTTCAAATTCTCAAGAGAACTCTATACCTGCTGGAGCCGTGGAGGGTGAATGAACCCCTGAAACTATTGTTCTGTGAGGATCTTTAACTCTTAAGCCAAAAATATCCTGGAAGTCTTAAAAATTCAACAATACTTGAGCAAAACTAGTAATTAAATGTCTCCCTTGAGCATTATGACCTGTAAGTTATCGCTATGGAGTCAAATTGAAAACAGCAACTCAAAAGATCAGGCAAGCCTCTTACCAGGCAGTGAATGCTGTTGCCGAGGGCGGAGTAACTTCCAACTGTTATCCACGTGGAAGCAGTGGAGCAAGGGTTTGACCAAGTCAACCCCTTCCTCTGAGCCCAGCAGTGATTCGGTCTTCTCTCACACATACTCCCTATCACACTGCGACCAGTTCAGCACCCTCAAGGTGAGACTGCCAGTGGGTGCCTGTCACCGCCAGCCACTGCTCCCAGTTTGCATGAAGAAGGGTTCAATTCCCCAAAGGTGGGACTCCCTGTAGTTTGAAGCTCTCAATTCCCGAAGCCTCCCTTCTTTCATCCTTCATTCCATCTCCCACCCACTCGCCTCCCAAGGTCCTGCCCTTCCACTGCCTTCCCTCACCACCTGCCACTGTTACACTAGACCAACGGTTCTCAACCTGCAGGCCGTGACCCCCTTGGGGGTCGAACAACCTGTTCACAAGGCTCGCCCGATTAATAACAGTAGCAACATCACGGTTGAAGTAGCAACGAAAATAATTTCATGGTTGGAGGGAGGGGGAGTCACCACCACATGAGGAACTGTATTAAAGGGTCATGGCATTAGGAAGGTTGAGAACCACTGCTCTAGACCGAATACAGCAGTACTGCGGGTCACCTGCAATGAGACATCCTGGTGGGGGACAAAGTAGTGCAGGTATAGTTTTCTCTCACCAAGGGGTTAGAAAAACAAGTTAACCCTGAGCCTTAACCTTTGAGTGCAAATATGACAAATCTGTTCGGAAGCCTTGAGGAGGGAAATCACTACTTACAATCAACATGGGATGAACTGCGACACTGGCAGGGGCTGGGGTGGGGGCGTGGAATAGCAACAGAACTGGAGGGAGGGATTCTTTAAAGTCACCTCCACTTCTAAGTAAGACCACCAGTAAAGGTCTCAAAAGACCGAAGAACTGATCGTTTACGAGAGGATTCTCACTCTTGTCAACTCGGTCTACCTGGGTTTATCTATGTTTTGTTCAGTAAGAACCTCTTCTTAAAAGCAAGCCCCCAATTCCACCTGCTTACTGGAAGTGTAAACACATTATTCCCCTAGTACAGTCAGAGCATGCCAAGTGGGTAACACATTTGGAAACAATCTTTTCAATGTACGACACTGCCATGTATTTCCATCCATTGCTTCCCCAAAACCTTCTTTCTCTGAGTACCCGCCTGGGCTAAGGATGTAAAAGTGATTTCATCAATTCTAAAAGATGCTTCCAGAACAGCGCATTCTCTGCTTGAAATGACTATTGACCTAAAAGGGAAAGATTTCTAGCCTAGAGAAGGTCAGAAAAATCCATCCACCCTAGCACGACTTTATGCCAAGAAGCTAAAACCAGCTCCTCTCGCTGAGTGACTTGGGGGTCATACTTCTGCTTTAGGACCTCCGCAATCAGAGGGAGGGGCTGCTTTACCTGCATGGTCTGTCCTTGAAGGTGCAGGCGATCTTTGCAGGCCACCTCATAGAAGTCATAATACTCCAGGAAGGACTTCTCCATCACACCACTGGAAGATAAGCAAGAAGGCTAAGTGTTACCTCTTCACCACCGAGCCGAAATATCAATTAAGCGGCTAGACTTCCAAGCCCACACTTGTTTCCCCATATTGAAGAAGAAAAAAACAGGAAAAGGGACAATTTTCTACCTTGATGAATTTTCCTCATACCTTAGGAAATTGCAGAGAGACAGAGGGGGAGAGACCAGGAGACCACCAGCTGCTCCCCAGGAGCAAGGGGGCTTTCTACCCTGTCCTATGCAGCTGCCGTGAAGGAAGGAACGGCATCTTGTTCCCATCGGGCGTGGCAGTCTACAAGGAGAGAGCTGCCCTCTTCCGCTTCCTCTTTGGTCCCCTCTAGCACACCTGCTCTTGAAAACAGGAACCACATCATTCCTTCTCCTCATCTCCCTCTGGTGCCGAATACTGGGAACTTTGCCCCAAAGACACTCAACGGGGCCACACAATGCCATCAAGTTGATTTCAACTCATCACATCTCTTTAGGACAGAGGAGAACTGCCCCACGGGGTTTCTAAGGTTGTAGTCTTTATAAAAGAGCCACATTTTTCTCCAGCGAACAGCTGGTGGCTTCAAACTGCCACCTGTCAGTTAGCAGCTGAGGGCTTAACCACTGCACAAACAGCGTGGCTCCTGGAAGGTGCAAACCAGCTAAATCTCCAAAAGGTCTGATCCCCTGGGGCCCTCTGGACACATACCGTAGAGGCTCAGGGCAGGGACATTTCCCTTCCATCATGTCACACACGGCCACTCGGATGGTCTCGTGCCGGATACATTCGTTATAGTTCTTGCTGTCTCCTGGATGTCTCTCCTGCAGGTGAGACACCAACAATCCGAGTACAACGGATAAGCAGAAAAGAAATGTCAATGAAAAGAGATTTCAAATTGCATATGGGGTGTGTCTCAGGAGCCAAACACATCAGTTAAGAAAAGTTTCCTAGGATATGGTAGTCCAGGAAGAGCAATCCCTCTATTCTTGAGACAAGCTCTTTGCCCCCACAGACTCCAACACCCACCCTCTACAGAAGTCATTTGACCTATAACCAGAAAACTAGATCCATCAAACTTTCTTGAAACCGACACGAGAAGCCTGATCGCAAAGGACTAGGTAGAAAACAAAACCACCAGGTAGTCTGACTCCCAATTAGAGAACCCAGGTGAACAAAAGGATCCCGGGTGGCACCGTGGCTGCACACTGGGCTGCTAGCCACAAGGTTTGTAGTTCGGACAGAGGATGAGGCTTATACTCCCATGAAGTTACAGGGGCAGTTCTACCTGTCCTACAGGGTTCGCTAGGAGCCAGGATGGACTCAGGCAGTGTCGGGCAGAGTGGCTGTTTCAGTTGGTGGACCAAGGCTATTAGGAGACCCAGAATGGAAAGGGTTTAGACAAAAAGGTAAAAATACTTCCCGAGTAATCCTTCCACATGTCTGAAGGGCCCACCAGCACTGATCTAACCAGGTGGACTAGGAAGTCAGGACTGGTGATCTACATCTGAAATCTGCCAAGGAAATTAGCCAGTGATTCCCAACCAGCACTATGATTCTCAACTGGCGGTGGGCTGGCACAGGGCCAGGCAGCGTTTTGTTCCATTGTGCATGGGTTAGCAGATGACTCCACAGTCGCTGAGAGCAAACCTGACAAAAATGCATGAACAGGAGAGATGTACAGGTTCAATCTCCCACCACATTTTCACACAGCACCACAGGGATCCTGCGTGATTACATCACACTTGACAAACAGCCAAGTGGAACACCACACAAACGATCAGCGTAAGGGACACAGCCCTTTTAAAGTTCAGGTACACTATATTCCCCCTTTGAGGGCATCCTTGTGACATGTCACCTGCAGACATTCTTAGGATCAAAAGCAAGCAGCACATCCGTGCCTCTGTGTGCTCAGGATGGGAGGCATGGAGGTCCCATCTGACTGGAAGCTGTTAGAAGCTGTACACCACAGTGGGCATGCAGATCTCACTGGTGCGTCACTGTGGTTACGTAAGGAGAGTTGAAGTAATCCACGCACAGCTAGGTGCTTCTTTGAGCACAGGGGCTGTAAAAACCAGAGGCGTCAAGAAGGTTGCCAGCCCAGAACGCCTGGAGCGTGAAGGCCCTAACCCTCCGGTGCCGCTCCGGGATTCCCAGACACGGAAAGCCTCAGTCAACTCTCTGCTTAGCTACGAACAAGGTCCATCCCATCCCTACCTACCCCTGAACTCCGCTATGCGATCTGAGCGGGAGAAATGGTTGCGGCAGTAACTTGGGTTCACCTTAAATCTCTCCTTTGTTCCCGTCCCCGGTGAGGACGGCACAGGACGCGGCAGAGCTCTGCTCTGTTGTACACACAGGGCCTCAACAGGCCCTGGTCTCCAACCAGCCTCCCTGCTGTCTCCACGCTCAGCAGTTCACTGTTTTCATCAGTAGCTTTGCGTTATTGTCCATCGAGGACCCCCAACGCCCCCTGCCCACTCCCAGTGTTCCCGAGTCATCCAGGAAGGCACTGTAGAACAGCACGTGGAAGTGCAATCTTTGGAATCAGTCCTTGTCACAAATCCTGGCTCCTGCCCTCTCTGTGAGCTCTGTGACAGCGAAGTACCCTCTCTGATTCTCACTTCGCCCCTGAGAAGCGGCATCGCATTCACTTCACAGAGGGAGTGCAGGGTGAAATGGGAAATGATGAAGCACATGGCGGTGTCGGGCACACAGTCTGCACTGGAAGTTTTCATTTCTGTGCCTTCTCTTCAACAGGGTGGACCAAAAGATCCCTGCCCTAGTGAATGACAAGCTCCTTTGAACTCCTCTGCAGAAACTCCCTCAAAACACCCGAAGAATGTCTGGCTCACCAAAGCATTTTCAGGGATATTTGTAGGATAACAAACCACCACGACAGAGTCGATTCTGACTCACTGCGACCCTCTAGGGCACAGGAGAACCGCTCCCCTGCTTGTCCAAGGTAGTGAATCTTCATGGGCGCAGAAAGCCTCATCTTGCTCCCTTGGAGCCACTGGTGAAGTCAAACTGCCGTTAGCAGTTCAACTGGTCACCTGTTACACTACCAGGCTCCTTACTTGGAGGACAGGAATCTAAAGACCACCCCTACCCCTACCCCCACCGCAGCAGCTCCCAAAATAGGCTCAGAACTCATTTTCAAATGATTCTACATTGTAGATTAAGCCAAGTCAAATGGAATAACTCCTATAAAGGGATTCTGAATTGTATCCCCTTCTTAAACACTGTTGCACCCCCAACCCACAAAAGCCCCAACATCCCCCCGCTGGGCCCACAGGGCCTTACCTGTTCGAAGCCAGGCTCGTTGTGATAAGGGTTTTCGGTCATCAGCGACTGAATGGAGATGAGCACGGAAGAGATGCTCTGGGCTGGGCTCCAGGCAGGGCCAGTCCATGTACTGCGGACACATCACACAACAGGGCAGAGGGTGAGGTGGAGAGAGCCGGAGAAGGAGGCTTCAGAAAGAACAGCGAGCCAACAGCACCAGCACAAGGGACTCGGGTTTCACTTTCACTATCAATACTCTGGAATTCCCCAGCCTCCATCTCACACTCCTTCCCCAGCAATCAGTCGAGTGCTTAAACCTCATATCACGAAGCAGAACTAAGGAGAGAGGATGCGGCAGGGCAATCACCTTGAAAGGCTTTCCTGGGTCTAGGAGAAAAGCAGTAGCTCAAAAAGGCCACCCTAACCACAGTAGAAGAAACCGCGCTGAAGAGCCCCTCCCTGCAGCCTCCGCTTTTGTAACTCTGTGGACTCCAAAGGCCTCAGTTCTGCACACATGTGATGGAGGAGGTAGAGAGGCGGGAAAGTCACCATCTGGGTATACCGGGCAAGGGGTTGGCTGATGACCAGAAACCCATGTCTAAATCAGGAGCCCCAAGGAGCACCCAACTCTTTGTTGATTGGAGCGCTCTGCCAGAAAGCAGGAAGGGAGTGAGGGAGGCTTCTGAAGATGATACCTTGGGAGCATCTCGACCATAAAGAGAAATACCAAATGACTTCTCTTGCATAAACTGGATGGAGTATAACCTAGGGATGGGGCAGCACAAATAGTATCTCTTTTAAACTCAATAACCAGGAGATGGAAGCTGAACCCAAGTTCACCCAGGCCGGCCTTGTTCAAGTCACCTCTGGGGATTAGGAATTTCTCCTGCCGCCCTTGAGGAAAACCCAAGTAAGTGATGCATAATGCTACCCTCCTCCTCCTCCTCACTTCATCCGAGCTTGCTCAGCAGTGCCTCCAACTGTTCTCTTCTCAGCGCGGCTTCCCCGGGAACCCTGGGCCTTAGTCTCCATCCAGTTGCACAGATCCAGGGGCTCAGTCCACAGAGGAAATGCTCACACTACTTTCTTTGGTCAGTGTTAGCCGAATCAATTTTTTTTTTTTAAGCAAGGAGGGACAGAGAGAGGCTGATAAAGTTAATAAAGTCCATTCAGAACACATGGGAATTTTCCACATTGCAATTCTTCACGGAAAAATGTCAATTTCAGGAAAGTTTCTCCTTTTCCACCCTACTTACTTCTGGCCGCCCCTCTCGTCTCCTTTAACCTAACATTTCACTTCTCTCATTCCAGGGGCTGGTGCCTGCTCAAAATATTCTTATGTCAGCCCAGTAAGAGGAAACTTACTACAGAAGGGTTGTCATTAAAACCACTTTCAAACAGAGCAGGGCTTCATTTTCTTATCTCTGGGGGTTACATATGCCATGTTCCTGCCAGCAGACAATTATGTGCCCCTAATGAGGCGAAGGATTTCTCCATCGTGACCATCACGGGCCACATTCTGGGGCTGGAGAGAGTGCTAAGAAGAGTGACTCGTGTCTCCGGCTTGTTCCAGGAGCTTCTGCCCCACACAGACGTGGGCATGTGCTGGCAGGGGAGGAAGCAGGGCCACCGGCTTGGGAAACTGTCACCTGTAGCCTGCGCTCGTCCTTCACCCCAGGGCAAGCCCACGATGTGCTAGCACACTCCCACTCTGAGCCGTGAGCCCCAAGGGCAACGAGGGAATGGATGGAACTGCCACAAAGGGAAACTGGAGTAGCACCGAGACACAGGATGGACCCCGATGCACTCAGTCCGTCTGTATTTCACACAGGCTGCGACTGCAGCGTCCCACAGCTCACTCGTTAAAGCAGCACACTCAGGACCACCACCATTCTAACGCCACTCACTGAGCTGCAGAAAGATGGCATCCACCCTGTTGGATGGCATCCACCCTGTTGGATGGCACAGACCCACAGCCTTGCTCAACCTGTGTAGAAGAATTAGCCTGAACATTCTGAGAGAGTGGTTCTCAAACTAGAATAAGACCAGAATCACCAGGAGGCCTGGTCAAAAGATCTCTTACTGGGCTCCACTCCCACGAAGCTGAGAGTCAGTAGGCAGGGCCCCAGAAGTGCTATCTGTAAATGCTATGCTTTGAGAACCACTTTCAAAGACAGCCGTTTTAAACAGTAAATCAACTTCTTTTGCATCTAGAATGGTACTAGTTGTGTACCCTCCTGGAGAGAATTAAAATCACCACTCCCATCATCTTGTGTTCTGTGGTTCAGGTGGAAAAAACAGACACAAAAAACCCAACCCCCAAACCCTGGTTGATAAAGGCTGGCCTAGAATAATTATTTGCTAACAACCAACTTGGCCACTTAGAAGTCTCCTCTTACCCTAGAATACTCAAGCAGACTTTCCCATTGCGGTAGAAGTTGGGGTTAAACCTCACTGTGTTATTGCCCGTTGTCATCAGTTTGACCCGAGGCGGGTGGATGGGATAGTCGGGCGGACACCGAAACACGAACAGGAAGAAACCCCCTTCATAAGGAGTGTCAAATGGGCCTGTGATCAATGCATGAATCTGCAAAATAAAACCCCATCTCAAAATCGTGAGGTGATGTCCCACCCCGAGCCCCTCCTGGCTCCAACCTGCTACCCACACCAGAAGCGGGACCCTCCGTGCGGTACCCACATTCTTCATCCTCACACTAAAAGCACGTTTGTAATTTCCATCAATTCCATTTCAGTGGAGTGCCAGCTTACTCAGGGGCTGTACTGTAAAGTTAGAGCCTGGGGCAAAAATGGAAATCTAGTCAAAATTATTCTCGACTAAAAACTCTCCTAAAGTAGTTTTGTTGTTGCTGTTTTCAAATGTGGACCTCCTTGTTCACTTTCAGGTAAAACAAATGGACACAATGCCAATGTACAAACTACAGGATAGCACATCTCCGTACAGTACAATGGTAGCATTTCTAATGTCAAGACGTTAACTCACAATCTCACTCAATAGGCACATTTGAATGTGCCTAGAGTAGATGTGAGTGGGATGCAATCCCACCCTCCATCTAGGTAGCACGAAGGGGAAGTCAAATGAATGGAAGCAAGAAAAGGGAATCAAGGCCACAGTGACCGGAGGAGTGCCGCCGAGCCGAGGACACTGTCTCGGGCATCTGCAGCTTCTCCCGGAGGATCCAGTCTCCTGAGGATGGGGCTCAGGGAGTAGCTAGGTCTATCAAAAATACAAAGAAAAATGGGGAAAACTCAGGGGCCACTCAGAACGATCCCAAGCTTTCCCCAACACAAACAGAGGCCTGGTGGCACTGTAAGGCACGAGCTAACCACTTGGCGGGCTGCTCTGCCGACTCGGCTTCTCCAAAGGAGGCCGTCTGCTCCAGTAAAGGGGGGGCAGCATCAGAAACCCTACAGGAAGAGACCCCAGACCACCAAGTTTGGGGCTAAAAAACAGCAACAACAAACATCCTTAAAACACAAAGTTATCTTCCTCCCGCCATAATTACTGAAGAGTATTTAAGATTTCCCTTCTTGATGCAAGGAAAATCTGAACCGAGTCTATAGCCCCTACTATGCCCTGGCAATATGTTACACTAGACTCTAGCCGTAAACATTTGAAACGGCAAGGTCAGCTGGTCTCAACCTGGCACCAGTTCTGGGACCCCAGGGACTGTCATTAACACTAATAGTTAACAGCGGATACACCGTCCCAGGTACCAGGAAAAACATTTCCAACCATATTTAAGAAAACAAAAAATCCAATTCAAAGGAAAACCGATTCAAAACAACTAAGACAAACCAATAATACGAAATCTGAGTACTGACTGTACGAAATTTGAAACTGTGGGGAGTATTCATGTAACACTAGGCTTAGGAAATCTAATGTCTTCCCAACACCAGTTTAAGTGCACGTTCATTTCTGAGGGGAGAGCGCTCACTGGCAAAGAAGCATCCCTGTTATCTGTGCCCAAGGCATTCAACTTCATGTACTAGGCTTGCTCTGTGTGTGAGGATGAAAGAAATGGTCTTTGGGTTATAAGGATACTCAAAAGCAGCCAGCTAAAAACAGGAGCCTAAACAAGGCCCTTTAACTGCAACCTTTCCTACAACGGATTTGCAGCAGCATCCTTAAAGATCCAGAGTGGTGGGGTAGAGGAGTGGGGACAGAGCTAGATACTATCATGGATACAATGACCATGTCATTTATCCTCCAAACCGGAGCACTTTGGAGAGTGAAAAAGTGTCCTATTACTATTTATGCCAAGATAACAAGCATAAACTGGGCTTTCCAAGCCAGGACCCACGGCCCCCCAATAGCAGATACCTGTGGTCCATATCTCTGTCCCACTGCACCATGACCTTTGGGCAAGCCACTTACCCTTTTGGGGGTACTTGATTTCACAGTCTACATAATCAGAGATATGAGCTCACTAATTGCTTTGGGGAATCTTCCAAGTTTATGGGCCCACTTTCCCAATAAGCCCCGACCAACATCAAGTTACATACCTTTGTCATGTCAACTGTATCAGGTACAACGAACATTCCTGGAGGCGGCTCCTTATAAATGGACATGATATCCCTGTATAACACCAAAGAGGAGGTGGGGAGGGAGTGAGGGAGGGGAGGCAAAAGGCGAGTCCCTTGAGCAGGACAGTTGTCATTACCTCATTGAGGCCAGGGTTCGAGAGAGTGGTGCTTGGTACCGACAATGTCTGCACTCTCTTAGCTGAGAAACCTCAGCTGGCACTTGTCATGAGAGAGAGCAAGTTATTATCAAAGGGGCACTGTTTCCTCAGGGGGGAGGGACGGAGAGGAGGCACGAATTCGGAGATCCCAATGGCATCAGATGCCACCCTGGAAAAAGCCCACATCCCATTTACTCTCACTTCCTCCCACATGGCAAGTCATTCATTCTCCACCTCTGAGAGTCCCAGGTACTACGTGGAATGCTAAATCCAGATCTTTCAGGAACTAGAAAGACAATCAACTTTGCTGAAAAACTGATTCCATAGCCGCACAGTGGACCTTTGTTGGGAAGGGAATTGATTTCATGAAGCAACAAGGCTAGGAAAGAGCAAGACTATAACGGTCCTTTTCTTGACTGACAGGGTAACACTCTTCCTGTTAGGGAGAAAGGACCCCCTGAAAGTGATGAGACCCTCACATCTGTCTGATGACTGCTACGGGATACTTATAGCATCTAACTCATGTTAGGAGCCTGGGTGGCGCAGTGGTTCAAGCCCTCAGCTGCTAACAGAAAAGGTGGCCGTCTGAAACCACCAGTCATCTGTAGGGGGGAGATGCGCAATCTCTTCCCCTTGTCTGACAGCCTGGGAAGCACTGTGTGGTGGCCCTACTCCGTCCTATAGGGTCACGGAGTCAAAATCCACAAGGCAGTGGCTTCGGAGTTTCCCACGCCATGTTCAAAATGTTCAAGGCAGTGTTTTGTTCTGCCCCACATGGTGGATCTGAGTCAGAACTCACTAGACAGAAACTAACAACACAAAGTTATGTCTCACAAATGAAATACAACTGTTGACAGGAAATACATTCCAGGGGTGGAGAAGACTAGAGGCATATATGGGTGCCTATGGGCATAAAAAGTGCACCCAGGGGACAGAGTAAAGGATGGAAATATTGGCTAACTTAAAAGGTGTAACAGGCTTACCAGGCTGAAATGGCTGAAGGGGTAGGCACAGGGGTTAGGAAGGAGTGCTGAGTTTCTTAGAAGTAGCAATAAGTGGCCCGCACCAGGCACTATGCCAGGTACTTTACACAAAGTGTACTGTTTAATTTTTATTACAACCTGGAAAGGTAGGTAGAGGATTACCTTCGGGACTTGAAAATGTAGGGGAATGGGAATACCTGGATAAGGTGTTTGTGTGTGTGTACTGGGGGAGGGCGTGCACTTGGAAAGAGGAAGAGTGTGGTTTCAGAACAGCCGCTAAAAATGATGATCCTCTTGCAATGCGATAAGCACTACAACAAGCAGTATTAAATGATCTGACCAGCCATCCCAGAAATTAGCACAGAAAGGACTGAGGCCTTTGTTCCTGTATTTGAATTGGGTATATTCGCTTTAAACAAACAAACAAACCAAAATGCTCAAGGGGGGCAGGTGGGATACAAGAAAGAGCGCCCTAAGAGAGGTTACAGGCCCAAATAAGACAGGGGAGGCAGCCCCAAGTTCCTGGAACAGGTGTGAGAGTGGCCAGCTGAAAGGAGGGATGATCGCGGGTACTCGACAGAAGAGGCCTGGGCGTGAAACGGTAACATGTATGCGTGTCTGTGAGTGAGTGCACACGCGCGCCGGTTAAGTGTTACAAACGCGACTCTGGAGCGACCTAGGGGGGGGGGACCCATGGGTGGGGCCTCTAAGCAACAACTAGCAAGGCTGGGACGAGATGGGGCATGAGGGGCGGCGCAGGGGGCGGGAGGGGGTGTTCCTGAAGTGAGTAGGGGTCGAATTTCGGGTGGGCGGTAGGGGAGTGTGGGGGGAAGGTGTCCGGAATGGAGACGGAGGGCCCACGGGAGGCTGCCCAGGGGCGGGGTCGGATTCGGGTTGGGGCAGGGGGGTGGGTGCCCGTGGGCACAGGGGCACGGGACGAGACGGGTCCCGGCCCTCGACGCCCGGGGCCTTCGAGCTGGGCTGTCGCGAGGGAAGCGCGAGGCCGCCTGGAAGGGGGCGAGTGGTCGTGGGAAAGGGTGGGGGGCGGGGAAGGTCGAGCCCCCGAGCTCGGGGCAGGAGGAGGAAACCCCCGGCTCACCGCTTGATCCGAAGGAGACACTGCGGCGCGGTCCGCTCGCCGTCCCAATCGGAGCTGAGCGTGGGGTCCCAGTGGCTGAGCAGCGCGGCCCCGTGGGCAGCGGCCGAGGGCGGGAGCCCGGGCAGCGGGGCCAGGCCGCTCCCCGGCCCCCCGGCCCCGCCCGCCGCCGCCGCCGCCGCCCACACATCCGGCAGAAACGGGGGCCCGAACCCGCCGCTGCTCCCGCTAACGCCAACGACACCAGCCACGCCGCTGGCCCCGGGGCCCGCCGCCCCGGCGCCCGCCGTCGCCGTCGCCGCCTCCTCGGTCGGACTCTCCGCCATCGTTGCTTCGCTTCCGGGACTGCACGGCAGCACGTCCGCCGACCAGAGTGGCCGCTGCTCCCTCCGGCTCCCGCACCACCGAGAGCCGGGCCAGAGTGTCCCCACCCTCCGTTTCCACCGCCTGGGCAGCGCTGACGGCGCTGGCTCCTCCCACCGCCGCCCCGACCAGCGAGAGGCTCTCTGCCAGAGCGTCCCCCCGCGGTCCTCCACGCTGGGAGGGGGTGCGACGTAGCCGGCGGAGCGGGGGTCTTCTTGGGCCCGCGCTTTGCGGGTGTAGTTCGAGGGGCGAGGTGGGGCGGATTAGGATGCGCAGGTGCAGTTGAGAACCCAATTCCATGGAATCGTTTGTTCTCAAGGGTTGAAAAGAGAGGAAAGGAGAGGCAGGGCACTCCCCTCCCACCCACCTTGAAAGAGAAGGCCGCCAGCCGTGCCCTGCAGGAGCTTTGGGGACCCAGCTTCCTTCCAGGGAGACGAGGGTGGAAACAGTCACCGAGTGGACTTACTGTCCGGAAGACTGATTTCGTCTCCCCGCAAGCTCGCCCACCGGAGGCAGGCTGCCACGTCCCCTGCCTGCAACGCGATCAAGAGGAAGGAGGGGATTGAAAAGCCACCACAGTTTATTGAGGGCCTACTAAACGCCGGGCCCTGGGGTTCGGCGTTGTCATGGAGATAAGAAACGGACTCGCAGGCGCCTGGAAAAGGGGCATCGCACCAGGGAGAGCATTGAGGCCGCCCCTGTGTCGTAGTGCATAGAATTCTAACGTTTCTCCTCCTCGCTCTGTATAATGGGCTCGGGTTCCACTGTTACCAGTATGTATTTGTATCTTGTCTCTTGCTTAAAAGGAGACAGAAAAAAAAAAATGTCAAGGGGATGGGGGTTATAGAAGGTGAGCAAAGAAGTGGGTTAGGGCTGTTTGGGTGGGTGAAGTGGGCACTGGAACGACATGGCTTCTCCTTTGGCCTGTTTAATTGTGATGCTTAGTGGACATCCTTGCTGCTTAAGATGACACTTTTAAAATAAAGTTTTCCTGTCATGATGACCTGACCCCTGCCACTCGATGGGCAGACGCTGTAGCATCCTATTTGGAATTGCCGTTCTCAATTGTCATTTTGTTGCTGCTTATTTTTAAATTTTCTTTTAGTTTCACTGGAAAGGAAAAACGATGCTCCGTTTTCAGCGGTCCAAGTGTACAAGTTACTTTTTTTACAATAAAACTAAATATGTTTTTAAAAAAAGTTAAGCCTCCTGACTCTAGGCTCAGTACTCTGGATTCCCGCGAGCCCTTGAATAAACAGGAATCAAAGGCCTGTGAATTCCTCTGGACTTTCTTTGATATTTGTAAGGTGGAAAAATAAAGCTCTGAACTAAAAACAACTTTCCCTTTTCTTCTCAGCAAGAATGTGGGTGTATAAAACCCTTGGGGCCAGATAGTTTTCAAAATTTCAAATAATATTCCAAGCATGGCCTGGGGCAGCACGCAGTAGCCAAACATTGATTTGCTTATTTCCTCAGCCAAGTGTGTGGATGAGCACACGAATTTGGATTAATTGATGCATATTCATACTAAAATGCATGAATAGGTTTACTCTGGATCACATTTGACCGCCAAATAGGTTGCTTTTGAAAGTCCAGTTTGCAGAGCTTTGTGGATTTCCAATAAGGCCTGTCGACCTGAATAGTAATGGCCAACATTTATTGAGGGCTATGAAGTAAGTACTATTATTAGTCAGTTCTGACAGATGGAAAAACAGGCTTACAAAGATTCAAACACTTAGGCAGGGTCAGACGGCTAGCAAGTGGCAGAATTGAGGCTGTGTGCCAAATCTGAATCCAGAGACGTTTCAATTACTAGTGAGTAGGTGTTAGGTCCTTGTTTGGTATTCTTCCACACTTCTCCTATAGCACCTTGTACTAATGGTTGTTTGGTACCTGTTGTTTCCTGTTTTCTCCTTACCCACCCACCCCAGTATACACACAAGTAAATACATAATACCTTTGGGATACTGGACTGTGTGTTATCTATGAATCAAGCATGTGGGAAACCATTGAGGAGTCTGGGAGGCCAAGGCTCCGGTGGAGGAAACCTTCACATTCGTGGGTTGGAAATACGTCCCACTCACATTATTCCCCATAATGCACCCCCCCCCCCCAAATAATGCCAAATTTAAGGTGCTGTTTGCAAACACCTGGTGGCTTACTAAATACTTGAAGGTCAACTGCTATCTGACATCAAAAGCAAACAGACCCTATTGTCTGTCCCTCCCTAAGTAGGACCCACTCCCTTCTGATAAGGATAATGGATTGTTCCCCTGGAGAAAAGTTCAAAGACACTGAAGGTCAGGCCAACTCAGATGACCAAGGTTAGGGTGCCATTTTGACTTCAGAACCCGCCCATTGTGCTATGTATGTGTGCCTCTAGTACAACCCCTTCCGATGGCTTGTATACCCCTAGCTCCTCCTCATCCTGTTACATGTATGCCTCTGTCCAACATACTGTTACATATGTGCTGACCATGGCCTGTGTGCCCAAGATTATATAAACTCACGAGATTACATTACTTCCTCTCTCTCTGCTCGGACCTGGCTCCTGAAGTCCTGACTGAAGAGGTGAGCTCTTGCATGCTTTATCTTGTCTGATGTTGTTTTAATTTACCCCTCAATTACACAACCACCTCTTGCACCCATTCGGTTGTGGGGAGGCTGGTCCCCCACACAAGCACAGGGTCTGGCTGGCACAGCCTTGGCACTTAACACGAGGCAAAATAGAGTTTTTTATATGGATTTCATGTTTTATTAGTACAGTGTTTTATTACTCAATGACTAAGATACCAGCGTATTTCTGAAAGGATGTGAGTGTGGAACGGTGGTCACCTCTGCATAGATTTGTTGCCAGCAATATGAGCTACAGAGTAAGTAGAGACCTCCTACTTTTGAAACATGCTGTGCATCTATTGCCGATTTAAACCCTATGCTCATTTTCAGAGGATTGCGGGATTTTGCTTGGGCATTATTTATATAGTGAGTGGGTCACAAGCCACCTGCCAGCGACCTCACACAAAGACAAAACTCTACATAGCTCCATGGCTACAAACCGCTGCAGAGCCCAAAAGATGATCCATGGGCCAAGGAAGTGGATTCCTTAGTGTGTCTCCCCCTTATTTCTGGGCCACTGTTCTTAAATGCAAGGTCTGGCAGTATGGGGCAATGAACAGAAAACGCTTTCTGAAGTAAAAGGCTCAGGTCCCTAATCTTCACTCCTTTGCCTCTTTCTGCACTCTTCAAAATCAAAACCAAACTAACTGCCATCAAGTCAGTTCTGACTCATCGCGACCCTAAGGGGTAGGGTAGAACTGCCCCTTTGGGTCCCCCAGACTGCAACTCTTGACAGGAGTAGAAAGCCTCATCTTTCTCCTGTGAAGTGGCAGGTGGTTTCAAACTGCTAACCTTCCAGTTACCACACTATGCCACCAGGGCTCCTGCTTCAGCACTTACAGAAAAGTGACAGTTCCTACCTCGAAGGACAGTTCCTACCTCTGATGACTACATAACACATTTCCTAAAGGGAAACACTGAAGTTCCTAAAATTGCAAGCACCAAAGAAGTAGCAGCTCTCTTGTCTTTGCATCTTTAATGCAGGCCTTGGCTTGTGGTATTTTTTGTGCTTGGAATGCTCTTTTCCTCTACTCCACTAGGGGAAATCCTTAATTTCTTGACCTCCCTGAGCCTGTGCTCCTTATCTACAAAATTTGGAAAAATAATAATAGTTACTAAGGAGAGATAATGTGTTAATGAACATGCACAGTGTCAGGCCCCAGTAATTGTTTAACTCATGACTGCAATTATCTCATTTAAATTATTTAAATTTAAATGATTAACTTATTAGTCTTACTCATCCTTCAAAGCTAGCTGGAATAACTTTCTCTGCCAAATTGTAATACATGCAGGCATATTATTATCAATTAGTCATTAATTACTCCCTCTGTTGGCTCTCATGACTATGCATCCCTTTATTATAGCACATACCACTTTTTTATTTTAGTGATTTGGTTACTCATCTGTCTGGCTACTAGACGTTTTCTCCTCCAGGGCGGGAACCACGGGCTACCCTTCCTGTGGCTCTGGGACCTGTATCAGAGGGTGTTGCATAAACGGTGGACAGAGCGAAAATGAGGACAAGGAAGCCAACGGCCCTGCCCTGGCCGAGCATCTTTAGGATTTCATCTCCTTCTCTCCTCTTCAGATAGACCTGTTTTCTATCCCAAGGGCTGAGGCGAGCTTGCTCAAAGAACTAGCACGTCAAGGACTGATGGCGATTGGGCGTGGTAGTCACTTAAAGAACCAGGTCAGTACCAATACCTCTAGGAGATCTGTAAGCCTGGAGAGAACAGGTGAAAGGCTAGCTGAATGGTGTGCTCAAGGCGGTGTGCCCTCTGAAGGGTGAGAGTGGATCTTTCTTCCTGGGACCTGAAGTGAAGTCTCCTTTCCTAGCAACAAGACGGCCCTACCTTGAAAAAAAAAAAAAGACGGCCCTACCTTGAGGCGGTCCCTTGATACAACAGTTCGGTAGCACCTTGCTTATGGCAATTAGGCAAGGTCAAGGGCTGGCAAGTACCCTAGAGTTCAGGTGATCGCTGTGCCCCAAGTTCTATACAAGTGTTCACCGTGAAGGGCCGTGTGTCCCACTGTCCCGCTCTCACCTCCCTTTCAGAGAAGTCGTTCTTCTTAAGCTCAGAGTTCCCAGTCAAGGTAATAGATCTTGGACGAACAGAAACCTGAACTTGGATTGGGTATTTTGAAGCTTCTAAGTAAAAATGACTATCTAATAATTTGTACATATTACTTGCATATTATTTCACTACGATATCTTCCAGCATATATACATGCATATGTGGACACAGTGAGCTTCCAAAAGGTCTTGGGAAAATGGGATGAAAAGGTAATGGCGATCTCGAAGCCCCCTCATCTACATTGCATTGGGTGAATCTGCAAAAGACTTCTTTAAATAAAGTGTCACTTTGACCCAAGCCAATAATTTCATATGGATGCAACAGGAACACAAAGGACTGAGAAATTAAGCCTTTGAATCAGGGTGTTGAAGAATTTTGAATATGTCATGGATTGCCAGATGACAGAATGCTGCTTCGAAGAGAGATTGGTGAGATTCCATCTTAAGTACTTTGGGCATGCTGACGAACGGCCTTAGGAAGATCTTCAATTAGATGGATTGACCCAGTGACTGTGACAGTGGGCTCAAATACAGCAACAACTGTGAGGATGGCCCAGGACCAGGCAGTGTTTCTTTGGGTTGTCCCTATGAGTGAAACCAGTTGGGTGGCACCTAACAACGATGTCTATTAATCTCATTAAATTGACTGTCATTGAGTCAATGCTGACCCATAGCTTCGGGGTTTCCGAGACGAACTTTACGGGAGTAGAAAGCCCAGTCTTTCTCCTGAGGAGCTACTGGTGGTTTCGAACTGCTGACCATGCAGATCGCAGCCCAACCTGCGTAACCACACCACTGTTTTTAATCTCATTAAAAACACATATAATATACACAATGGCTTCCAATTTTATGTAAAATGGAATGAAAAGATAATGGGGTTTTTCCATGAACTTTTTTGAAGCCCCTTCAGATATTTTATTATCCTATTGGCAAGTCATCTTATTTTAATGTATAACCACCACAAATGGTTTCCATCCCCATTTTACGTATTTGCACGATAGGAAGCTAGAGTTCGTAACTGAGGACGGGGTGTTTGCCAGTTTTTCTCCCGTTTAAGTGATTATCCCCGTTCAAAGCCGAGGAAATCAAGGCTGGGGAATGACTGAAGTGCTCAGTTACGAAGCCGCAGTGCTGGGCTTCCGGGCTTTGTCGCAGCAACCTTTGCCTCGGGGTCGAGTGGCGTTCCCAATTTTTTTTGGTCTTCATTTTGGAATAAATGCAACAGCAATGAGTTTTGTTTCATTTTTCACTTCTTTGAAAATCTCAGGAATGCTATGGACCCTCTCCCATGAAAAATGTACCTTTGTATACACCGAAACATTTTGCAATGAGCAAAACGGCTCCATTCACAGGCCAGTCCATAGCCCCTAAAGGAGCCCCATTCCATATAAAGTCATGGCACTGAACTCACCAGGTCAGGCAGGGGTGGGGTGGGGGGTCAGCATGACACTCCGGACCCCCTAGGTTGCTAAGGAGTCCACTAACCACATCCCCAATGCTGCTGGGTTGGGTTAAGTTCCAACAATTCCTGGAGCCGGCCACGGAGGAAACTTCGTACCAGTCACTTGGGAAAAACTCGATTCTGGAGCTTCACAGGAAGGAAAAGGCAACTGCCTTCCCCGGGGGCTGCTCCTCGATTACCACGAGGGGGTAGCAACCCAGCAAAGATGCCAGCCCAACATCCCAGAGGGTTCAGAAGTTCCGTTTGCGCAAGAGTCTCAGCAGTTAATCCATTGCTCCCTTGGCAGTTCCTCATCCGCTAGTGAAACCATAGTGTCAGCCCTCCCCTGTGGCCTTGAGATTCCTGGGCTCCTCTCAGGTTCTAGCACTGGCTTGCCTGGCAACCTTGAGGGAGTTACGTAGGTAGCGAGGCTAAGAGGACCAGCAGCAGGCTATGGCAGACCGAGGGGTCTCCACCAGGGTGATTTTGTCCTCCAATATTCCTCCAGGGAATATTTAGCAATCGTAAGAGTTGGCCGATGGTTGTTACAATTTGGGGTAGTCTTGCTAAAAGTATCTCCCAGCCAGAGGCCAGAGGGGATGCTAAATATCCTACAAGGAGGACCACCCACACCAAAGTACTTTCTGGGCCCAAATGTGCTGAGGTTGAGACGGTGCTAGAAAGATGAGGATTGTTGAATAAAGGTCCGACGGGCTTGGATTAGAATCATTGGCCTAAACTTCTGCAAACTAAGCGAGACCACAGAGCTTAAACCAGCTGCATGGCCTCAGACCGAATGCCTCCTCCCAAGCCCCCCTCAGTTTCCTTACCTATGGCATTTCACTGGATCAAGTTAATCAGGGAGAGTACTTAGCGCTGCCCCGCATACGTTGCCCAATAATATTAGAAGCATGCCAACTCGTTCAATTTCCCTCCGAATTTCTAGTTCATAGCTGCTCTACGCGCACTACACATGGCACTGTTCATGCTCCTGGAGGTGTTTGGATGCTTCCAACTCCTTGAGGGCAAGGCTCTTCCGTACATTGCTTTGCCTTTCCCCTGGGGTGCTTACAGAGACCTACTGTCTTTTTCAATCGCATGTGGATTGGATCAGTGTCTTCACCTTTCTGTTGGAAGGGGTTCCCAACACTAATTGGGAATGGCCTTGACATCACGTTCCTTACCGAAGTTTTGCAGTCAGTTTGAAGGCATGACTTTCACAAAGTGGCTTTCCCTGTCGATTGCCATTCCTTTTAAAACCGTCCAACTTGCAGACAGACCACGTCCCCAGCAGCACAGCATTCTGTCCGGATGGCCCGATGGAGGCTTGTCGGAGCAGCAGCTGCCCCATACTTCAGCTTCTCACTCGTAACTGAGGTAGCAGCAGCACTGAGCCAGATTAAGGGGCCCTGGTGGCACACCGTGTTGTTCACTGGAAGGTCGGTCGGTCAGGTGGGTAAGCCCACCAGCCAGCCATTCTAGAGGGGTGTGGGGAAGACAAGGCAGTCTGCCGCTGCAGACTCAGCCGAAGGAGCAATTCTACCTGGTCCCATGGGGTCCCTATAAGCCAGAAGAGACTAGATGACACTGAATTTTTGGTTTTCAGTCGAGTCAGGGCAGGGGGATGGCTGGACACACTCATGACACCACCAGAAAGATGCCCTACGAGACGTTCCAGGCAATTTGTTAGCTCACCCCGTAAAACACCCTTTTTGTATCTTACCGGTTTTACTCAGGAACATCTAATTATTTTTTAAAAATTAAAAGCCAAAAACAAATCCATCAAGTCAACTCCACCCTGTCTTAAGGTTATGAGACTAAATCTTTACAGGAGACAGCTGGTGGGTGAATTGCTGACCTTGAAGTTGGCGGCCCGATTCCCCAACAGCCCCACCACCAAAAAACCATGGAGTCAATCTCAACTCAAGCAACCCTGTGCAGGGCGGGTTCTGAGGCGGTAAATCCTTACGGGAGCTCACAGCCTCGTCTTTTCCTTGCAAAGCTGCTAGGGCAGTGGTTCTCAGCCTCCCTCATGCTGCGACCCTTTCAGACAGTTCCTCACGTGGTGGTGATCCCCAACCATAACATTATTTTCATTGCTTCATCACTGTCATTTTGCTACTGTTATGAATCAGGCGACCCCTGTGAGAGTCGTTCTACCCCCAAAGGGGTTGCGACCCACAAGGTTGAGAACCGCTGTGCTAGTGGGTTTCAACCGCTGACCTGCTAGCACCACCAGGGCTCCTTAAAAAAGGCAAACCAATAATGAAAAACAGTGGGGCGAAGTCCACGGCTCCCTCCGCCTCAAACTTGCTGTAGAGCCTTAGAACTAAGTTTCCCTCTCTGTACCACCTTAATTTGGGGATCCAAATGGAAACAGACGGGCCAGCATAGCAGTAAAGGTGTAAGCTGGCTGGAGGAGGAATCCCCAATTCTGAAAACTGCACCCGTGACCTTGGACACGTTATTTTGCTTCCCCAAGCCTGAGCTCTCTTTTGTAAACAGGCTTAATACTTATACTTAACTATCTACAGGATCGTGGATGGAATAATGTTAAAAAAAAGAAAACTTGGCATAGAGTTTGGTGAAAATTAAGCTCTCTGAAAATGTTACAAGTTAAATTTAAATTTGAAAGGGAAAAAGCACCAGTTCTTGTTACTGGGATGAATCCATGCTCTTCCTGGGAGGAGAGAAATGGTGTGTTTGTGCCAGTGCGATTGTTCAGTCCTGAGGAGTTTCACAGCACCGGTGGCTGAATCAATTTCCTCTTTTCTCCCCCCCACCCCACCCCCAGGGCAAAGAACAAAGTCACAGGCATATGGATTTAGAGAAACGTGTGTTTAATGGTAACGCTTAGCACACTCCAGCGCGGGGCATGGCCTGGAGCTGAAGCAGCAGGGACAGGTCAGGGCGCCCCACGGAGCCTCACATGGCGAAGAGGATGAGGAAGGCGACCATCAAACAGAAGAGCCCCATGGCCTCAGACAGGGCAAAGCCCAGGATGGCATAGGAGAAGAGTTGCTGCTTGAGAGATGGGTTCCTGCCAGGGAAAGAGCAATGCCAGCCCGGGAAGGGTAGGAGTAAGGTCGTGCTGGCAGTGGAGGCCAAGGAGACTGGGATGGCTGTGCCTCAGGAGCTTACTAGCCTGCACATTTCCTGGGGGGTTGGGTGGGCAAGCAGAGAACCAACGTGGCAAGTTTTAAGTGAGCCAGATTGGGCTGAGGGTCCCCCAAATAGGGTGGGACACACATGGGAGATCACGTAGGCTACCCTGAAACTTACCTGGCATAGCCGATGATCAAGCTGCCAAACACGGTCCCAATGCCAGCCCCCGAACCAGCCACACCGACTGTGGCCGCCCCAGCACCAATAAACTTGGCTGCCGTGTCAATATCCCGGGAGACCACGCTGGTCTGGAACTCCCGCCTGGCCACCTGGAGCGGGGAGCTGCTGTAGGAAGGCTAGGAGAGGGAGAGGGGTAAAGACAAGAAAAAGAGTAGAAGGAGATGGTGAGGCACAAGGACAGGTGACAGACTCCACCCTCTTAACCCACCCATCTATGAAACTGCTGGCAAATTGTCTGGCAAGTATAGAATGCAAGTTCAGATTGAAAAGTATGCTGGGAACTGGTCTTGAGTCTGTTCTCAGTGCCAGGGAAACTTGGTGGGTCAGGGAAGTCTTCCTTTAGCAAGTTTCTCAACACAAATGTTCATCTTGGGGGGTCTATCAAAACACGTCATGTTCCTCTTCTACCACTTCTGTCTAACAGCAGCCCCATGTACCCAAATTGGCCCCATTCAGAAGCAAGGACCTTACTCCCTTACCTGTATAGATAGGATCTCCGGTCTATTCAGGAATGAGGCAGACGCAGGCCTGACGAGACCCCTGGCACAACAGCGGACCTATAACATCAGAAAGGCAAAGACATACACTCCCCAACAACAAGAAAAGTCGCACTGTCGAGCTTCTGTCAAAAATGACTATAACCATCATAAATAACAAAAGCTCAATGTAGTCAAGGTCAACTAATCTATTCTTTTTCAACCAGGTAGGCCTGCACCAGGAAGACAACTGTCCAGAGACTCGTGTACTCAGCAGTGGCAGACGACCTTCACCATTCAAAACCATGTACCAAAGTTCACCTCCATGGGCACAGCTTTCATCGGTATCCCAAAAGGAAACATGAATTCACACTATTCACCAGGCAGATGGAATTCCATTCCATTGCACCTCAAGGGAATGGGAAGCAGGAAAGTTTATTTGCTACCCAGTTAAACGTGGTGAGGCTCCATCTAAGCAGAGCCATCTTTAGCCTGGCTTTCACGGGATATTTCCTCAGTGTAGTGCTCTTTGGCTGAATACTGGTATCACCTGAGGAATTAGGGGGGGAAATTGCAAAGGTCTGTGCTCCATTCTCATTCCCAGAGCCTGAGGTTGGGAGCAGACAAGGTTGAGAACCACAACTTTAGTGGGCTGTCTGGTGATGGCCAAGAGACTGGGGTAAGGGTCAGACGCAGGCTCTCTGAGGACATGCCAAAGTCAAGTTGCTTTAGAATTGTCTGCTTGATTCTACAGGCTCCAAATATGCAGAGATCACATGCTACAGCCTCCCCCCAAGGGGAAGCCAAGCCCCTTCGATTCATTCATTAAACACTGACGGCTCCTACACCCGCCTCCACAACTCGCCCTCGGGCCTCGGCTTACCAGAGCTGGAGGAAGGCGTAGTGCCCCGGTGGTCTGCATATTTTCAATCTATCCAGGGAGAGAGAGAGAAAATCCCACTGAAAGAGTCTGGTCGTTTGGTGATATCAGCGACCTTCGGTCGTCCCCTCCACCCCCGCTAGGAGGGCATTGGAGGTCAGAAGGGCAGCGCAAACCCGCCAGTCCACTACCCTCGGCCCGTGGGGTCTGCAAAGGAAGGTCAGGGAGAGCGGAAGGGAAAGAGAGCAGGCAGCCTAGGCCCCGGGAGAGAAACGTTGCGAAAGAAGACGGTCCCCCGGGAAGGCTGCAGGCAGTGACTAGGCAGGTGCCAAGCAGGGTCCTGCCCATTTCCTACAGCTGTTCTCGCTCCAGCTGGGGCAGCCAGCCGCTCGTTGCCCCTGATCATGAACGCAAATTGATCAGGAGGAAGATTCCCGCCGCTTCTCTCAGCCCCGGGTGGCAAACGCCCTTTAACCCAGCTCAGCCCACCACCGTGCTGGTCACTGGCGCCCGGCCCCCGAGTCACCTGCGCTCCAACTGTCCTGCTGCCCCGGCTTGGACCACAGCACTCGCCTCGCTCAAGGTGACTGACTCACCTCTCAGCTTTAGCTCCGGGTCTCGGCGCTCAGCTCCCCCACCCACGTGGCGTGGGGTCTTTCCACGTTCATTGGCCGCAATTCCCCCCGTGCCGCCATTGGTTAACGTCATCCGCTCCTCCTTTCTCATTGGCTGTAGGCAGCTTCTTCCTCTCTCGCCACAGGAGCTTCGTGGCAACTCCCGCCTCCATGCGGGTAAAGGCGGGGCTTGCCTCAAGAGCTGATGTCCGATTGGCCATCTCCTGAAACGCTCGACCATAGAGTCGGCTGAACACAGAGGTTCCAGAACCTCCCTCACAAAATGGCGACCAAGAGGGAAGCTACAGGAAAAGGCGTGGGAGAGAGGCCCGGACGCCTTACGCAGCCAGACACGTGACTTGAGGCGTGAGATTTCATTCGAGTGCCCCGGTCTTGAGGTGTGTTGCATGCTGGGATTTGTAGTCCGGCTGCGGACACACG